GTGTGTGTGTGTGTGTCCCAGACTTGCTAAGACATGCAGCGGAGCTCATGACATATGGCAGAGTTATGAATTCTCTTCACTGCGGACACTTGGAACCACTTGTGCGTGTGTGTGTGTGTGTGTGTGTGTGTGTGTGTGTGTCTGTGTCTGTGTGTATGCGTGTGTTGCGGTTCCTGAACGTTGCGTGAAGACGTCGATACTCACACAACATGGGGAACACACAGAGGAGCGAGCTGGACGAGGATGCATCAGTCAGTTGTGAGACGAGGAGTCCGCGCAGCGCCGAGCATTTCCCCGCCTCACAGCTCCACTGTCCCCGGCTGCGCTGGCGTGAAGACGAGCCGCGGCGGCACTGGCGGTGCTTCGGTGCGGTGGTGTCCCGGGTTAGAGGCAATAAAACGGGTTTAAAAGTTGAGCCCCGGGCTGGAGGAGCAACAGCGTCAATGCTGCACAGAGACCGACGTGGCAGACCCGCACCGCCTCTGTGAAACACGTCATCAGTGCGCGACAGCCGCACAGTCGCAGTTTGAAGCAGAGTCACAACTTTATTACTTTATTCACTTCATTCATCATATCAATCAAAAATGATCACAACAACACAAATAATGATATCAATAACAATAAGAAATAAAATAAACTTTATTTGTACAGCACAGCATACAAGAAATGCATCTCAAAGTGCTTTACATCGATATAACAACAATCATCATGTTAATTAGTTTCATCAACTATTTTGTCCTTTCATCTTGATTTAATTTTATTTTTTGTTTATCAATTAAATAACCTACTAGTGATTTTATCATTGATTTGATCAAATATTCATAATGCCATCATCAATCATATTTTTAAGATAATTGTCACATTGAATACTTCTGTCATTATGTTAAAAATACAGTGTGTAGAATTTTGTGATAAGTAGTGTTGAAATTACATGTTGCAGCTGAACACCCCTCACCTCACCCTCTCCTTCCAAACATGAAAAAGAACCTGTGGTAGACTTCAGTTGTCATAAAAACTCAAAAGGTGTTTAGTTTGTCCAGTCTGGACTAATGTAAAAAAACATGGCGGCCTCCGTAGAGAGGGTCCCCTTGATGTAAATATAAAGTATTTAAATATAAAGGAGCTTTTCTGGGGTGAAGAAAACTACAAGTCATACAATTTAGATGAAACAAACTAGTGAAAACATCATGAGGATTATTCTACATTAAATTTCTGCCAATAGTTCCCTTTCACCTAAATCTTACACACTGGACCTTTAAAGGTGGAAGACTCAGGACAAGTGTCTGGGTGTCATACAGCCCCTTTCATCAGCAGGAGCCAACCCAGACTATACCATCCTCGCTAGCCCCGCCCCCTCTGGAAACAGGAAGGTTTAGCAAAAGTTATCTTTAAAAATGCCTGTACTGCCTGCACCTGTCCCCAAGCTTACATTTGGCAGCTTGACTGAAACCCTAAACACCAGAAAAAAGCAAAAAAGAATTTATAAAACCTACTGCACCCCCCCTCACACATGGTTGCTCTCAGTGACATCACTGCTGATGTCACCAAAGGTGTAAATACAGGAAGTGTTTGGCCACTTCCTCCTGTAACACATGGTGGGAAAGGTGAGTTTCAAAGAAACGGAAATGAATGAAAAACTGAACTTGTAAACACAAACTACTGAACTTTTCATTAAAACTAATGTTACATGGGCTGTAACATAATGCTAAAGAAAAATAAACCGGGATAGTTTGTGTCTGCTGGCTGCAACTTTAGGTGATAATATGGTTCAAACTATTAACAAGCAAAGTATGGCCTCTGAAAAAAGGGACAAATGGTGAGTTCTCATCTACTCTGTCACACAGATGCAGGTTAAAGTCCAGTTCTTTCTCTTTCCATGTTGTCTAATGATTCTCTTGTATCTAATCTTAAGCCCTGCCAACACAAATGAGGATATTATACTAAAGCTAAGATTTTTAGAGGGCAGATTTTTTTAAAATGTGTATATTTGTACTTATATGAGTATTTGGGAAAACGATGATGTCACAGCTTATTGTGTGCATGCCCATTGTTGCTGTGTGTAATGATACACCACAAACAATGTCCGCCATGTACCGGTGGACAGGAGAATGAGCTCAGAGAGAACGCTCACATTCTTATGGATTTGACAGATCGTTGATAGATTGATTCTTTACTGATCCCGAGAGAAATCTAGGACTCGCCACCTACTGGCCCGGGATGCTTGTTTGGACGTTGTAGTGGTTTTGTGTTCTCATCCCAACCAAGACATTTTTAAAAATGGAAAGATATCCGTTCACATAGAGTCATTCGATCCTTTGTTAATATAAATATGTTGGTTATAGCAGCACTGAACTGTAGTGAAGCCAAATTCTCCCAGTGCTCATTATGACCTTCAGTCAGATACTGAAATGATTGGAGCTTTTCTCTTTACTGACACGGAGAGAAACCCATCAAGGAGGCAGGACCCACTGGTAAGGATGCCTGCCAGGTGTGTGCCTATATTTAGAGACATACTGGGCACCACTGACTGGGAGTGTAGAGAGATGCAGCACCACATCCTGGTGGGATTACATCTCCCATCTGCCCTGAGATTTGCTACTCTGGATTCTGCCAGTGTGGAACTGGGATATTTTCCCAAGGAAAAAAGGGAAATCAGGGCTGCTCCACTTCCACCTGGCTCTCCTTCCTGCAGCCATGAAAAATGCCTCTTCCATTGTCTATTGTTTGCTGTGGACATAAATATGTCACCTCTCATAAAAACTGTACACTACCCAGGTTTATTTTTATTGCATTTCCAACAAGCTCACCTTTTGCTTCATAAGAGGGTATTATTGGTCACGCAGGGGGAAGCCAGATGTATTTGTTTTGCTGTTTTCTATGATTGTTTTGTGTTCCAGGCCATCTTGTGTGTTTGTACCTGTTTCATAGTAACATCATGAATTGTGAGGACACTGACAAATGTGTGTATATCTTTACCTTTATTGTCTTTAATATCCACGGCAGCCTGGGCCTCCAGCAGCAGAGAGATCAGCTCCTTGTTGCCGCTCAGAGCAGCATGGTGCAGCGGTGACAACCTTCACACAGATTATGTATAAAAATACACATATTCATAAATGTGGTGTAAAACCAGTGGATAACTTTGCTGAAATAATCTTCAGCGTATATAGCAGCTCCGCCCCTACGCTCTGTTTGAGCGACGGGAGGGGGCAAATGACCTACTTCCATTAATAAGCAATCTCTCTACCCCCGAGCTGAGCGTACTCATAGCGCGCCTGTGTGTGAGTGTGTGTGTCGCTAATGGATCCCTGGTGAATATTTGAGGGCCAGGCCCCGGAGTCAAATCAACGAATCAACAGACATTACACAAAGAGTTGGGTCCAATTATCTGATTCCAATCAACATTATAAAAAGATCTTTGTAATCTGATGAAGCCAAACGCAACATCATCGCAAACCAAGCATGTGCACACACAAAAAAGCTCAACCAATCGTGAGTCTATAAATAGCCAAAATCCATAGTTGTCCATTCAGAGTTAATGCTGGAACAGTTCTGAGCAAATTAAAAGCTGAGAAATGTTGGCTTTGCTTTAAGGTAATAAGTCTGCAGATTTGAGCTCCTCGGCTGGCGTCATGTTTCAAAGACCCATTTAAGCAGCGGATAATTTGTATTGTGATACGGTTGATTTGGTTTATTGAGCATAAACAAAGATTTCTTTTTCAGCCTGGCCCTGTCAGTTGGACGATCAAAACGTGGCTCAGCTGCAGGAAAAAAAAAAAATCTCCTGGATTCATTGGAGTTTGCTGAGTTTTGAGGATGTTTCTTATCTTGTGGATTAAATCCAGGATCTCTGTTGGAGGGACGGGTCTTTAACACCAGTGGTTCCCAAACTCTCTTTTTACTCTTAATCCTTTAAAATGATTCGACGTCTACTTGTGACCTTATCTCGCGTCAGTTGGACGACAGTGGTTGTGACCTTTGCCCTGATCACACAGAACAACCCATTTTTTCCAGTCTCTGGTTTGAGCGAAAGGATTTTTAGAGGATGGGAATAAATATTATTTATCATCGATTCATTTCCTGCATCAAACAGTTTGGAACCACTGCCTTAAACATTGTTCCCTACATAACTCCATCAAATGAAATAGTGGGTACATTGGAGCATGTCTAATGTTATATTAGCTTAAAGATCCATTTGAGAAGTCCTAGAAATTGTAGTAGTAAAACATTTGTCATGGGATGAGCGATATAGCCAGATATGATATCACAATAAAAATATTCGTATCGATTCAGACTGATTCATTTTTTTAATAGACAGATTTTTGCTCCTGAGGGAAGGTTTTAGTTTTAAACTTTATAAACATAACAACACTTGATAAATATTCAATATATAAATCTGAGGTAGATCAATTTTGTGTATTGATATATTTTGAACCTTTGCTATGTAAATTATATCAGGATGATTA